CCTGGCCAACATGGTAAAACCCCATCTGTACTAAAAATACAAAAATTAGCTGTGCGTGGTAGTGGGTGCCTGTAATCCGAGGCTGAGGCAGGAGAATTGCTTGAACTGCTTGGGAGGCAGGGGTTGCAGTGAGCTGAGATTGCCCCACTGCACTCCAGCCTGGGAAACAGAGTGAGACTCTGTCTCAAAAAAAAAAAGAAAAAAATAAAATAATAAAGAGCTGTAGGGCAGGAACTGTACAAGGCTAATATCCAAGATTCCGAGATTGTAATTTTCCTTGTTTTCCTTTCTCTCCATTCAGGCAGATGTGATTCTCCTTGTCACGTGCTCTATCAGGTGCGAATTTGTTCTTTTCCTAGGAGTGAATGTATCTTATGTAATAATGCCACAGCTAATAGTGCCTGGCCTGGCTGTCTATGGAGATGAGCCAGTGGCCCCATGGCAGTAGGACTTGCAGTTTTCCCACAGTGGAGATAGTCTTTATACGACTGGCTGACGTCGGCTGAGCATGTACCGTGGTGTCAGGTTCTGAGTGAGTAACATAATGCATGAACAAATTTAATGATCACAACAACGCTGTGTGTTTGGTGCTATTATAGATAAGGAAACCAAGAATGTGCTGAGCCACTCAGCTCTTCCTGAGCTTTGTTTTGTAACTAATGGCATGTATTTATAGTATAGCTGCCTGGGGTAGGATACAGTCATAGGCTCAGGGAGAGTTTTGAATAGAGGTGGGTGACATCCATCAGAGGTGAACATACCTTCTTTCTCACTTTGGTTCTGTGTTCAAGACATGCTAGTGTTAATGTTTCCATATCCGGCTATACCCTCAATTAATTCATCTGACATTTTTCTTCTGTAGACCTCTGCTGCTTGACACTGAGCTATGTGCTTTGGGTGATTCAGAAATGAACCCTTTTTCCTTGGCCTGGCTTTGAGGAGCTTAGTCTGATATGGGAACTAAGATAGATGAACAAATAGCTCCAACATCTGGCAGAAAATGCTAGTTCAAAAAAATCAAACAATGAGGCTGGGTGCAGTGTGTCATACCTATAATCCCAGCACTCTTAGAGGCCGAGGTGGGAAGGATCACTTGAGTCCAGGAGTTCAAGGCTGCAGGGAGCTATTCAAGACCAGCCTGGGCAACAAAGTAAGACCCTGTATCTACAAAGAAAAATAAAAGATAAATTGCTGGCCAGGCACAGTGGATCACACCTGTAATCCCAGCACTTTGGGGGGCCAGGGTGGGCAAATCATGAGGTCAGGACTTTGAGACCAGTCTGGCCAACATAGTGAAATCCCGTCTTTACTAAAAATACAAAAATTAGCCAGGCCTGGTTATGCATGCCTGTCATCCCAGCTACTCAGGAGACTGAGGCAGGATGATTGCTTGAACCAGGGAGTTGGAGGTTGCAGTGAGCCGAGATTACGCCATTGCACTCCAGCCTGGTGACAAAGTGAGACTCCATCTCAAAAAAAAAAAAAAAAAAAGAGAAATTGCTAAGTACAGGGAAAAATCTACTTAAAGTAGAAAGGCATTAGGATCTGGAATCATAAAAAAAAAAGTTGAAGGGCAGTTAAAGGAAGGACAAACTCTCCAACAGAGGAGAATTGGGGAAGGCCTTACGAAGTAGATTGTTTTTGAGTTTGGCTTAAAGGCTTGTTAGGATTTGAAGATGTGTAGGAAGGGTGTCATTCTAGGAAAGGTAAATCACAGCAAGTGTTGCTTCTTCAGGTGGCCCCTACCTACCTTCCCCAAGTCTACATGGTAGATACGCATTTAAGGCAGGGCTGTCCAATCTTTTGGCTTCCCTGGGCCACATTGGAAGAAGAAGAAGAATTGTCTTGGGCCACACATAAGATACACTAACACTAATAATAGCTGATGAGCTAAAAAAAAAAAAATCGCAAAAAAAAAGAAATCTCATAATGTTTTACAAAAGTTTATGAATTTGTGTTGGGCTGCATTCAAAGCCATCCTGGCTGCATGCGGCCCGTGGGCTGTAGGTTGGAAAAGCTTAATTTAAAGGGTTGAAGGTGGTTTTTATTTTCTTCCCACTGTCCTACTCTCTTAGATTCCTCTGTGGTTTATTTTTGGTTCAGTTTTGCCTCCTTTGATCTCTGTAGGGAGAAGGCTGAGCAGACCATCTGGAACCGTTTACATCAGCTTAAAGCCTTGAAGACAAGGCGGCCCCGCTCCCGGGTTCCTCTGAGGATTGGGATTCTAGGTATCTGGTAATTTACGCATTTTGTCAGTTTTGACACTTGGATTCTATGTGGCTTTATTTGCTAGTGTTTCCTTTAGAGGCTGGGTTCCCAGTGTCTGAAGAAATCTTATATACCCCATGCAATTCTTGTACTTACTGCCAGAGGCTACAGGATTAAATGAGATAAAGTTCATGAAAGGGCTTTCCATAGTTCCTTAAAGTAATAGGTGCTCAGAAAGTGGTATATCCTGCCTAGAGTCTAATGCGGCTCATGGTAGCACAGAGTTATGGATAGAATTGGAGTCTGAAGGGACAGCATGAATTTCCTTTTTTTTCCTTTGAGGTGGAGTTTTGCTCTTGTTGCCCAGGCTGGAGTACAATGGTGAGATCTTGGCTCACCGCCACTTCTGCCTCCTGGGTTCAAGCGATTCTCCTGCCTCAGCTTCCTGAGTAGCTGGGATTACAGGCATGTGCCACCGCACCCGGGTAATTTTGTGTTTTTAGTAGAGACGGAGTTTCTCTATGTTGTTCAGGCTGGTCTTGAACTCACCACTTCAGGTGATTCACCTGCCTCGGCCTCCCAAATTGCGGGAATTACAGGCATGAGCCACCACGCCGGGCTGGTGGTTTAGTTTTTTTTCTGGGCATTATAATTGAATTGCCCTGGAACCCTTTTCTGTGATTTTCTTATATAGGAAGATGCAGGCTCCAGTGGTATGGGAGTGTTGGTTAAATTTGAAGGATGGTACTCAATTTTTAGAGAAGTTTTCTGTGCCTTGGTCTCTAATCCCAGCTAGAGATAAAGTGGAATAAGGAGCCATTAAACACCCGGTGAATTTGGGGAAAGGTGCTTGTTTCTTTTTCCCTTCCAGGTTGCATGGCTGAGAGGTTGAAGGAGGAGATCCTCAACAGGGAGAAAATGGTGGATGTTTTGGCTGGTCCTGATGCCTACCGGGACCTTCCCCGGCTGCTGGCTATTGCTGAGTCAGGCCAGCAAGCTGCCAACGTGCTGCTCTCTCTGGACGAGACCTATGCTGATGTCATGCCAGTCCAGACAAGCCCCAGTGCCACGTCTGCCTTTGTGTGAGTCACTGCCTAAGAGATGGGGAATAAGCCTCTTCTTTCTTTCACACTTTTTTTTTTTTTTTTTTGAGACACAGTCTCACTCTTGTCACCCAGGCTGTAGTGCAGTGGCATGATCAGGGCTCACTGCAGCCTTGACCTCCTGGGCTCTTGCTTTAGTCCCCTGAGTAGCTGGGACTACAGGTGTGTATCACCACACCCGGCTAATTTTTTTTGAATTTTTGCAGAGATAGGGTCTCACTATATTGCCCAGGCTGGTCTCAAACTCCTGAGCGCTGGTGATCCTCCCACCTCAGCCTTCCAAAATCCTGGAATTATAAGGGTGAACCACCGTGTCTGGCCATGGCATTAAATTTTCTTTTCCTTTTTTTTTTTTTGAGACCGAGTCTCACTCTGTTGCCCAAGCT